ACACCATGAGAGAACAAACTGTTGTTTTTCAGCCACCAAGGCCGTGGGCATTGGGAAGAACAGCCACAGGAAACCAACACACTGTTTCCCCACACCTGGGCTCAGCCTGGGGTCTTTAGACAGTTGCTCCTGCATTCCTGGGGATAACTTGGGCCAGAAATGCCCCAACCTGGTTGGCAGAGGCTGGGAAACCTGCATGCCCGAGCTTTGCCTGCTTTCTCTTTGGTCCTCTGAATAGCTGCAAAGCACAGGTTTGGGGAGCGAGGATTTGTGAACCCACTCAAGTGCGCCATCACTCCCACCAGATGAAAGTATCGATTAAAGCAGCCACTGCCTTGCCAGCGCCGCGGCTCACTAGGCTAATCCTCCGCCTGCGGCACGGGCACCCCGGGTTCTAGTCCCGGTTGGGGCGCCAGATTCTGTCCCGGTTGCCCCTCTTCCAGGCCAGCTCTCTGCTGTGGCAAGGGAGTGCAGTGGAGGATGGCCCAAGTGCTTGGGCCCTGCACCTGCATGGGAGACCAGGAGAAGCACCTGGCTCCTGGCTTCGTATCAGCGCGGTGCGCCGGCCAGTGGCAGCCATTGGAGGGTGAACCAACGGTGAAAGGAAGACCTTTCTCTCTGTCTCTCTCTCTCTCACTGTCCACTCTGCCTGTCAAAAAAAAAAAAAAAAGCAGCCATTGTCACTAGAATTTTCCAAGGTCACAATTGGGCTCTGGGGCAGGCGTTTGGCACAACGGTGCACTGTTGTGTGGGACACCCACATCCTATATCATAGTCCCTGAGTTCAAGTCCTTGTTCTGCTCCTGATCCCAGCTTCCTGCTGATGCGAACCCTGGGAGGCAGCCACGATGGCACAAGCACATGGGCCCCTTGTGGGGAACTCAGAGTTCCTGGCTCCTGGCTTTGGCCTGGCCCAGCCCGGCCTCAGCTGATGCTGGCATTTGAACCAGTAGATGGAGATCGGTCATCCTCTCTGATTCTCTAAATAAATAAAATTTTTAAAATAGGCCAGTGTGCTAAGTTAAAAAAAAAAAAATTGGGCCTGGGGACAAGTGACCGAGCCGGGGTGCCATGTGTGTGGCTTGTACCCAGGTGGGACACGTGGCCCTGGGTGGCTTCTTTTTCTAGAATCCTTGACTTGCAAGTTAGATGCTCCTTTGTCCACTCTGTGCCCAGGCAGTTCTGTCTGGAGCTTTCTCACTTGTCTTGCTTTCCCGCGTCCAGGGGCAAAGCCACAGTGCAATAATTTTACAAGTGAGTAAGTGAGTTGGCTGCATTCATACAGACAGACTTTCTGATAAACCAAAGGGTACCATCAAGAAAAATCTGAATGTTCTTAAGAGCCGCGTGGTACCTGGCTAATTCTGAGTGTGGTTTAGGGTTCAGTTTTGCCGTACAGGATGAGAAACCCCAAACCGTCCACACCCAGACAGAGGCCTTTGCTTTACAGGGGGTTGGTGAGAGAGAACTCTAGACTCCGCATGCCAGCATACTGACCAATAGCAGGAAAGATCAACTGTATGAGATTGCCCATATTTGAATGCTTTTGACCCACAGAAATGGCCGTTTTATATCGGCCAACGTTTATCTTGCCGCGGGGATCTGTTTGACCACAATTGTTTCCCGGCCTGACCTGAAATGTGGGAAATCCCATTATAATCGAAGAGGGGCTTTGTGAGCAGTGAACCACAGCAAGCCTCCTGGCCCAGACAGCTGTCAGCTGGAGCCAGCTTGGCACTCCCAGCTCGGTCACGACGTCCCCTTGTTGGACAAACACAGCTCCATGGAGCAAGGTCGCTCTGTGACCCGGATGGAGAGAGACAAACACGAGGCCACTCTGTAGCCACAGACAAACACAAGCACGCTGCTGAGACCACAAGAATGCCTGCCTCCCAGCAAGCAGGTGCAGCCACGCCTCCCTCCATTGCTTCATGCCTGGCTGTACTGTGGTTCGCCGTTCTGATGACCAGTCTGCATAAGTGCCCCCCAACCTCAATCCTAGAGCAAGTTCTTCCCCCTCTTACTGTGGCACCCTAACATTCCACATGGCGTGTAGTCTCGTGTGGCATGGCCCCAGAGACCCAACTGTATTCCACTACTTAAGTGTTCTGGAACTTTCGGCTGGTAGGGATTGGTAATGACCTTGAGCCCTGCCAACCTGACTGGGCCACCTCTGCACTACCACCTTCACCACCCCCCTTAATCACCACGGCCAAGGCCACCACTGCCGTCACCACCATAATCATGTCCACCGTCACTAAGACCCCTGCAGCCAGCTGGCTACATGACCCGTGTATATTGTCTTCCTTCTTTCTCCATTTTCCCGAATGAAGCTCTTACAGCTTCCAGAGGTGTTGTGGACTGAATGTTTGTATTCCTCCCCCAGGGTCCATATGTTGAGCTCGTAACCCCCAGTGTGCTGCTCTCCGGAGGGGAGACCTATAGGAGGTGATGAGATGATGAGGGTGGAGCTCTCGGAATGAAATTGGAGCCACCAATGCGCACTTGTACCCCTCCCCCCACCCCAGCGAAGACGCAGCAAGAACACTGCCGTCTGCAGCCGGGAAGAGCCCCTCGTCAGAACCCACCCCTGCTGGCACCCGATCTCGGGATTGCAGCCCCCAGAACTGTGAGAAATAAGAGTCTACTGGACTGTGTCATAGCAGCCCAGGCCGGCTGAGACAGGAGGCTCAGTAATTGGCTCAAGGTCACACCCCTAGGCATCGGCAGAGCCGTCATATGGATCCCCAGTTACCTGGGAACACACCGCTGCGTCCCACGGAGATGGGTCCCGAGACATCCCACCTCCCATTCCACTCTGCTGTCCCCAGCTCAGCCCAGAGTGACCAGCAGGTGCCTCCGTGGCTTCCTTTGTCTCCTGGCTGGACTCCACCTGCTCTGCCAACAGCTGTGTTTCTTTTCTTCTTTTTTCTGTGTTTTTTTTTTTTTTTAAAGATCTATGTATTTATTTGAAAGAGAGTTACAGAGGGGCAGAGGCAGAGAGAGAGAGAGAGAGAGGAGGGGTCTTTCATCTGCTCGTTCATCCCCCAAATGGCCAAAATGGTCAGAGCTGGGCCGATCCAAAGCCAGAAGCCAAGAGCTTCTTCTGGGTCTCCCACATGGGTGCAGGGGCCCAAGCACACGGGCCATCTTCTGCTGCTTTCCCAGGCCACAGTAGAGAGCTGGATCAGAAGTGAAATAGCCGGGACTCAAACTGGCACCCATATGGGATGCCGGTGCTGCAGATGGTGGCTTTGCCCGCTATGCCACAGCGCTGGCCCCCAATAGCTGTGTGCCTTTAAGCTGACTCTGCGTGTGTTTGCGTGGTCTCGTGTGTGGCTTTCAGAATCGACTGTGTACAGGGCGCGCGCTTACTTCTTGCGCACCGAAGTTCTCCGTTCTGTCTCCTGTTGCTTCCAAGCGCCAAATGCAGCGAGCGCATAAATTCTTCCCAGAGCCAAGAACAGAAACCGAGATTTATGAGGTCCAATCTCTCACTGTAAGCAGCAGGATCACTTACTCCTCACACCTTTATTTCATGGCCGTATTTTTCTTCATCAATGGCACCTTTTTAAGATGCTCCATAAAGAGATTCAATTCAGAGTTTTAAATTCAAATTATTTGAGCTCTTTGCGATCACACGACGCGTCTGACGGAGGGAGAGAAAAGCCGTTTTTGGATATGCTTGAATAGGTCCAAAACAGCTGAAAGGATTTTCTTCAAGTTTTCAGGAAAAAAAAATCCATGCATTTCCATACACAAGCTTCGTTTTGAGAGCAAAAGAGCCTGTGTGGCTGTGAAAGTTAGGGACTTTGTAGGAAATGCAGCCCAACCCCCAGCAATGCCCTGGGGTGCCCACGGCAGGTGTCGGGGGCCATGTGGACCATGGGGCAGCTTCTCCCAGCGTGTGGCAAACACCCGCGGAGGACAAAGCGCAGAAACCGCAGGCAGCTGCCCCTCGACGTGTCTTGGGCTGTTTGGGACGTGAGAGAAGGGGAGACAGGGATTTTTTCACTGGGGGACGGGGACTGGCAGCAGACTTCCCCACACCACTGGGATTTTTCCTTCTCTGGTGGTGACGCTGCCGTACTGTGGCTTAGAAGCAGCTTCCAAAAATCCTCAGAAGACGCATCCCTGAGATGGTGTGGCTTCCCACGCCCTGAGCCCCCACGGGCACAGCAACACTGGCAGCTGCAGCTATGGAGAGCTAAGAGTCTGTGGCTCTGTGCCCGGCTCCTGGGCCAGCTCCTGAGGGCCAGGGAGGCCCCTGCACCTGCCTTTGGGCTGGGAAGTCCTCAGCCAGCCCACCGACTACTGGGTACCAGGCAACACCATGCCTTTGACTTGCTTGAGAAAACCTTGAAATCAAGTTCAAGGGTTCTTGATGCCTTGCTGGGCAGAGTACTCAGTGCATCGTCCAGAACATTGCCAAAAGCTGCTGTAGAATGCCTGTCTCATCTGCTTTGTTCGTAGACAGCCCTTCCCCTCCAGACAGAGAGCACCCGACAGCCCTTTCTCTCCAAGGCCAGCGGGTAAAAACAAAAGCAGCGAAGCCACAGGAGTCCCCACCTGCCCTGTCCCGTGTGGGAGCCTTGTCACTGATGTAAGCGGCAGGAGCCCAGCAGGGAAGCCCAGGGCCCAGAGGGTGGGCAGCCCCTCCGTGCACCCCCCCCACACCTATACCCATTGGAGCTCTGTGCCTCGCACTCTTCAGCACTCCCCGGCTCCCCACATCCCATGCCCCTCCCCAGCAGCCCGCACCTGCTCCCTGCACTCTGTAGCCTCATCCTATACCTTCCTGTTCCCCCCACACTCCCGTCCCCGCTGAGCCCAGAGCAGCCAGTATTGGGATGCCAGGCTCTGGCTAGGGGGTGGCCCCCTGGGGGCAGGGACAGAGGCCCAAGAACTCCTCTCCGACGGTCCCACCTGCCCCAGGGCTGCAGGCCAGGACGGACCCGAGCATCCACAGACAGTCAGACACACATTGATTTTTGTTACAGCCACGAGGACCATCCAATTAAAAGTAATCACCGCTGTGTCTCGCACCTGCCTTTTGACGGCTGCTCGCCCAGAACGCCGCTGTTGGTTGAGCCCGGCCTCGTTTTCACAGCTGCTGGGATGCGTTTTGGAGCTGGGAGGTCTGGAGGAGACGGTATGAATCCACACCTGGGCCTGCGGGGGTCAGGGCCAGGGCAGGCGCGGGCCAGGGGCTCGAGGTGATCAGGTTTCTATGGAGCGCGCGTCAGGGCCGTGGTGCAGTGGAGAGGGAGCGAGGAGGACTGACGCTCCTGCTCTGGCTACTGTGCCCCAGAGTGCTTATGGACTGCCTGTGGGGGAGGGAGGGGCCAGCCCAGCCAGCCATAAACACGTCTCTCACTGCTGCCTGTGCAGACCGGGATGGAGACGGGGCACACCTGCCCACGGGAACGCTTGCACGCCTATCGGCAGAGACAGTGGAATGAGAAGAGCAAGCACTACCATCAGACAACAGGTTCGGATCCCAGCTCTGCCCACATTAGCTGTGTGACATTAGGCTGGTAACTTAATCCCTCTGAAGGCTGATCTACCGGCCTGTACAGTCTGCCCGATCATGCCTTCCTGCAGACTGAATGGCATCATCATAAAATCTTTAGAAGAGGATCTGAATGCTAGATGATCAGTGAACACAATTTTGATTATGTTCATGGGTTTCTGTAGCTTTCAGTTATCTTCCTGATATTTATTTGCCCAAGTCTGGAGCTATTTCAAGTCTACATTGGGGCTGATGTTGTGGTACAGCCACCTGTGACACCAGAATCCCGGGTTGAAGCAACCTGGTTTGAGGCCTGGCTGCTCTACTTCCGATCTTTTTCTGCTAATGCACCTGGGAAAGCAGCGGAGGATGGCCCAATGCCTGGGCCCCTGCACCCACGAGGGAGACCCGAATGGAGTTCCTGGCTCCTGGGTTCGCCCCAGCACAGCCCCAGCTGTTGCTGCCATTTGGGGAATCAACCAGCATAAGGGATCTCTCATCACGGTCTAATTTGCATTGTTCCAGGTCCTGAGCATCGTTTCCCGTGATTATTTGGTATCCGTGTGTCTTCTTGGGCACTGACACTGTGGCAAAAGGTCTGCTCAAATCTTATTTTTTTTTTAAGAATTGTGTTGTTTTCTTTTTTAATGAATTTTAAGAATTTGTGAAGTTACATTCTATGTGCAAGTCCTTTACCAGATGAGTATTTTGCAAACATTTTCTCCTGATTTATGGCATGCCCCTTGATTCTCTTGGCCTCGACTTTAGAAGAGGAATGTTTTTAATCTTGACGAAGTCCAGTTTATCACACTTTTCCTCTGATGGGTGGGTCATGCACTTGGTGTCAGAGTTAAGAAACCTTTCCCTAAACCAGGGTCACAACATTTTCTTCTAGAAGCTGTGTAGTTTTAGATTCCACATAGATGCCCATGATCTGTTTTGGGCTGACTTTTGCACATGGTTCCAGATTTGGACGGAGGCCCTGGGATTCCGGGAGCAGTGACTGGCAAGTGTCCGTCCCTGGGGAGTCGCCTTGGAGTCTCCTCGGCACTCTCCTGGAGGGCCACAGTCACCGTCCACGTGCTGCGGGGTCTGTTCTGCCTGGAGATCCCATGCTTCAGGCCTCAGCCCCTGAAGCTCCCCCCCGTGACCCCCAGCCGGGGCCCCTGTCCCCACGGGCGGGCGCTGCTCGCCATGTTAGGCCACCCACCGCAGGCGCTGACCGGCCCGCCTGCACCCGGAGTTGTCTGAGCCTCACCCTGGTGCGCGGAGCTAGGCTCAGCTGGATCTCTGAGGGGTGGGGGAGGGGCCCCCTTGCCATGTTTCCAGAAGGTTCTCCCGCCCAAGAGCACCCCCTTCCCTGGATCACAGCCGCCACACCCCAGGTGCTGGGAGCTCCCCCAAGCCTCGGACCCCTCCCATTTCCTCCTACCCACGACTTCCCCGACCCCAACTCCAGGCAAACGGGAGAACCTTTCGAAGACAGATGGCTGAGAAGACCCTGTTTGCATTTTGGAAACAGATAGTCAACACTGGGCAGCCCCTCGTGGCCGCTGTGGGAGGGCTGCAAGTGGGAAGCCGGGGGGCTCCGTGGGCTCCCCCGCCACTGCCCAGCGGTGAGGAAGTGGGTGAGGCTATAGCTGGCCTTGCACTTGGCGAGGCACCTGGACGCCACAGTGTGGTTAGTGAAGTAGCGTCTCTGTGCCACTCTTACTGCCCTCTGACGACTGTCTCACGTGCTAGCACAGCGTGCAGGGGTCAGCAGGGTTTGGCTGACCTGGGGGTCCCCTCCCTCTTCCCCAGCCCACCATTTCTGTTCTTTAAGCCACGTCCCCTGTAGATCACTGAATGAGAAATAATTAGATGCTTGCTTCCTTTTCCGAAGAGAATGGCCTTGGCCAGTCCACTCCCATCATACCTACCTTTCTTTACGTGGGAGGCACTGGCTTAGGACATTTGATTGCCTAAAAACTATGTACTCTGTATGGAGGACAAAGTCTCTTTCCAGAGACTTGTATTTTTGTTCTACTAAAAATATTTTTAGGGAGCCAGCATCATGGCATGGTGGATTACCTTGCTGCTTGGGATGACAGCACACCCTGTGGGTGCTGCTGGCAGTCCTGGCTGCTCCACTTCTGACCCAGCTCCCTACTGATGGCCTGGGAAAGCAGCAGCAAACCTTCCAATGCTTGGGCCCCTGCACCCACATGGGAGGCCCAGAAGAAGCTCCTGGCTCCTGGCTTCAGCTTGGCCCAGCCTGGCTATGGAGGCCATCTGGTGAGTGAACCAGTGGATGGAAGATCTTTCTCTCTGTCTCCCCCCGCCTTTAGAAAGTATTTTAAAAGGGGGACTTTCAAGGGACAAGTTTTTGGAGACTTACTGCCTACTTTTTGCAAGAAGCTGGAAGATGATGAAGCCGACCCAACTGCTGAGATAAATTCAACTGTTTACCCGATTTTTTTTTTTTTTTTTTTTTTTACCTAACTTCATTGGAAAGCGTTTTGGGCCAGTGTTTTGGCTTGGTGGATAAAGTCGTCACCTGCAGTGCCAGCATCCCATATGGGAGCTAGTTCTTGTCTTGGCTGCTCCACTTCTGATTCAGCTCCCTGCTAATGGCCTGGGCGAAAGCAGCAGAGAATGTCCCTTGTACTTGGGTCCCTGCCACCCATGAGGGAGACGAGGATGAAGCTCCTGGTTTCTGACGTCAGCATGGCCCAGCCCTGGCCGTTTTGGCCATTTGGGGAGTGAACCAGTGGATGCAAGATCTCTCTCTCCTTCTCTCTGTAACTCTGACTTTGAAATAAAGAAAGAAATATTTTTTTTAATAGAAGAAATGAGAAAATGATTTCCAGAAAATTCCATGAGATTTTCTTCTCTCCTATCCTATGGAACACAGCACAGGTGAGACAACGCCGAGTTGGGGAGCCCCAGACTCCCTGCCTGTTTCTCCCTGGCAGGCCCAGATGTGCTAGGGCACGGGGCTTCCTTGTAGCGGGGCTCCACAAGGACCCAGCTGCACAAGCCTCCTCGGTGCCCCCAGAGCAGGAGCCCTCGCCCCGAGCTGCCCCTCCCCTGGCTCGAACTGCCCCACGGAGAACAGCACCGTGCGTAGCACACACGTGTTTTCCAAAGAGCTTCATTTTCTCTAAATGCCATGACTTAATTTAAAACATTTTTTTCCAACTCACTCGCCCCTCCAAACCCCTGTTTGGGGCCAGGGACTGAGCCTGGACAACACCTGATCTGATCTTTCAGGAGGGACCGGCCTCGAAACATTTGGGAGACAACAATAGAAACTGCCTCCCGGGGCGGAGCCTCTGCCTCTGCCGGCGAAGGCGCAGGACACACCGCGTTGCCTGCCACTGCAAGTGACCCCTCGCCCCATCAGCCAACACGGAGATCCCGGCGTCGGCGGAGGGCGCCACCTGTCCGTTCCCACACCCCTCTGCACAGCGCCGTGGCTGGCCTTCTAGGACGTGTGCCTTCAGCCTTGCTATTCTGTCGGTTCCTTAACCCAACTATGCTAAATTCATGTTTAGTGGTCTGTGCTGTCTTGGGAAGATGGCCATGACCAGCCCCCACGGGCAGCCCCTGGCCGCACCTGCCGATAGTGCCGGGGCTGCTTTCTCCCCGCAGGGGCCGCAGGGGCCACAGGAGAGGCCAGGCGTGGCCCGAGCTCCTCTGTACCCCCATGGAAGAGCCACCGCCCTTCGTTTTCCGAGCGTGTCTTCCGCCACGAGCACATTCCCTCCATGCTCCCTGTCTTCTGTAGGCAAACTATAAAACACGCAAATGGTCCAGAAACCAAGGCCTGCTTGGCAGGCTGCAGCTATTTTGTGGTGTTCAGAAGGCACGGCAGACACATGCGCGTGCTGGCGTGCGGTGCACACACACACACACACAGGTGCACAGTCTCAGCATCTCCACACAGGGCCCATCGTCTGCCTGAGCCAGTGCAGACAGAACCTGCAGGTGCAGGGGGCACGCAGCGGGGAGCAGTGACCCCAAGAGGTGAGGTGCTGCTGGCCTGCGGCCCTTCAAGCAGGCGCTGGTATCCGAAGCCTGGAGGACCTTGGAGGCGCCTGCTGCTGGCCCCACCGTGGAAGTCTTGCTTGTCTAGGTTTCTGCAACATGTCGGAGCAGCACCTGCCAGAAAGCGCTATCCGTCTTCCTCCCAACCCCGCTGCGGCTTACCCAGAAGTCCCTCCCCTCTTGCCCACTCTTCCCTGCTGGGAGAAGCTGGGGAAATAGATCCCCCCAAAGGACATGGTGCAGGATCTAAGCCAATCCTCATTCCAGACTGGGCCAGCACGGGCCGTGTAACCAGCTGTGGCCAGTGGATTCAGGGCGCATCTGCTCACGGGACTTCTGGGAAAGAGCTTTCCCCCTTCAGACAAAAAGACAAAGTCACTTAAGGAAAAGGGCTCTGGGGCCGGCACTGTGGCGCAGTGGGTTAATCCTCCGCCTGCGGCGCCGGCATCCTATACGGGCGCGGGTTCTAGTCCCGGCTGCTCCTCTTCCTGTCCAGCTTTCTGCTGTGGCCCGGGAGGGGAGTGGAGGATGGCCCAAGTGCTTGGGCCCTGCACCCCATGGGAGACCAGGAGGAAGCTCCTGGCTCCTGGCTTCGGATCGGCGCAACGTCAGCCATAGCGGCCACTTGGGGAGTGAACCAACGGAAGGAAGACTTTTGTGTCTGTCTCTCTCTCTCACTGTCTGTAACTCTGCCTGTCAAATAAATAAATAAAATCTTAAAAAAAAAAAAAGGAAAAGGCCTCGCTGCACTTCCCTCCCTTCCTGGTTTTGTATATGTGCTGCCAAAGCGAGCACCTGATTTTGTGTGATGATGTGATACTCGGCATTTGGCAGCATATTGTGGCCATGAGGTGACAGGCTTGGGGCGGGTAGCCACATGCTGAGGATGGCAGAGTGGGAGCCAGGAGGCCTGGCACCAAGCCAGCCACCCGGCACCTGCCCCAGGCTGGCCTACAGCCCCAGATGGCCGGCCAGGGGGAGGTGCTTGCCTGTCTTCATTGTCAGGGGTTTTGTTTTCTGTGGTCAGTGCTTTTCCTGATGTCTTGGAAGAAACTTGATGGTCATGGAACCCAGGACCTCTGCCATGGGCTGCTGGAATCTCCTCTCTAGCATTTCCACCTGGTGACCTAGTGAGAGAGAGAGAGAGAGAGAGAGGCTGGCTTCCTCCTGGAAGGCCCAGGCCACATTTGGGGGAGCCCTTCTCACATGGGAGAGACCCCCATTGCCAGCCCTGTGGAAGGAGGTGTGCCCAGGAGGGCAGACACAAGGGGGCTGTGACCACAGAGATGCCTGGGGAGTGGTGAGCTCCCCCGGGGTGGCCATGTTCAGGCAGCACTGTGGGAGGTGCCCTGGTCTTAGAGCCATTTCTGCTTAAAGAGGACACTTTTTCTTCGCCTACTTTAAAAATATTTATTTTAGAGGCAGAGAGACAGGAAGAGAGAGGGAGAGTATGTGTTGCCATCCATTGGGTTACTCCCCAAATGCCCACCATGGCCAGGGCTGGGGCAGGCTAAACCCAGGAGCTGGGAACTCCACCCAGGTCTCCCACGTGAGAAGCAGACACCCAGCCACTTGAACTGTCACTGCTGCCTGCCAGGTCTGCATTGGTACATGCTAGGGGTAGGGGGAGGCAGCGCTCTGGTGTGGTGGGCTAAGCCTCCGCCTGAGGCACCGGCATCTCATATGGGTGCCAGTTCATGTCCTGGCTGCTCCTCTTCCAATCCAGCTCTCTACTATGGCCTGAGAAAAAAGCAGAAGGTGGCCTAAGTATTTGAGCCCCTGCACCTGCCTGGGAGACCCAGAAGAAGCTCCTGGCTCCTGGCTCCTGGCTTTGGATTGGCCCAGCTCTGGATGTTTTGGCCATTAGGGGAGTGAACCAGTGGATGGAAGACTCTTTCTCTGTTTCTCCCTCTCTTTGTGACTCTACCTCTCACATAAATAAAATGTTTAAAATATAAAAAGTAGGATGCAGCAATTAGGGGCAGAGCCAGGATTTGAACCCAGGGCATCCCAAGTAGCACCTTTATCACCGCACCAAAAGCCTGCCCCTAGAGACAACACCTTATTTAATACGTTGTCGGCTCATTAACATTGAACTCACTAGCCTTGAGCACAGTACTCCCATCTGCGTGAGTCAGGGATGGGGGAAGGGAGTTACCCAGGAAAACTCTCTGCATGGATGCACTCTGACCTCAGCCCGTCTGGGCAGGTGACCAGCCTGTGCCCGTCTGCCCAGGGCTGGGGTTTCCCCAGACATGGCACTACCACTGCTAACACCAGACTCTGCCCCCTGCGCGATCTTTCTTTACTTCTTTCTTTCTTCTTCTTTTAAATATTTGTTTATTTACTTGAGAGAGAGTTACAGACAGAGAGAGGGAGATACAGAGAGAAAGCTCTTTCATCCGCTGGTTCACTCCCCAAATGGCTGCAACGGCTGGAGCTTTGCCGACCCGAAGCCAGGAGTCAGAAGCTTCCTCGGGCTCTCTCACTCAGGTGTAAGGGCCCAAGTGCTTGAATCGTCTTCTACTGCTTTCCCAGGCCATAGCAGAGAGCTGGATTGGAAGTGGAGCAGCCGGGACTCGAACTGGTGCCTATATGGGTTGTCAGTGCCCCATGAAGAAGATTAACCTACTGTGCCACAGAGCTGGCCCCATCTTTTCATTTTAAAGATTTATTTATAGGCAGAGTTACAGACAGTCAGAGGCAGAGAGAGAGAGAGAGAGAGAGGTAGCGAGAGAGAGAGAGGTCTTCCATCTGCTGATTCAACCCCCAAATGGCTGCAATGGCTGGAGCTAGGTTAATCCAAAGCCAGGAGCCAGGAGCTTCTTCCAGGTCTCCCACACAGGTGCAGGGACCCAAGGACTTGGCCACCTTTCACTGCTTTCCAGGACATAAGCAGAGAGCTGGATCAGAAGTAGAGCAGTCGGGGGGCCGGCGCCGTGGCTCACTAGGCTAATCCTCCGCCTGCGGCACCGGCATCCCATGTGGGTGCTGGATTCTGTCCCGGTTGCTCCTCTTCCAGTCCAGCTCTCTGCTGTGGCCCAGGAGTGCAGTGGAGGATGGCCCAAGTGCTTGGGCCTGTACCTGCAGGGGAGACCAGGAGGAAGCACCTGGCTCCTGGCTTCAGATCGGCACAACGTCAGCCGTAGCGGCCATTTGGGGAGTGAACCAATGGAAGGAAAACCTTTCTGTCTCTCTCTTTCACTGTCTATAACTCTACCTGTGAAATTAAAAAAGAAAAGAAAAAAAAAAAGAAATTATCCCCTCTGGAATTCAAAAGGCACAAGGATTGTCTTTGGTGTGAAATTCACACATCACGAGGGCTGGCCAGGGTCTTCTGGATCCTGATTCTGTCAGCCAGTGCAGTTCTCCTCCTACCGCCCCCTGCACCTCTACTCCCTGCAGCCACGATGGCTGAAGAGAGACAGAGCGAGACAGAGACAGATGGAGAGTCCATACCGTGAGTACTCCCTTTGCAACCTACAGGATCTCTCTGAATGTGCTGGCTGGGCCTCCGACAGCAGAGAACATGGGCGCCTTCCCAAGGTGGCCAAGCGCTTCTGCCCCAGCCTCGGACGGCTACTGGGTGGGCAGAGTGGGCGTGTGGGTAGCCCAGCAGAAGGGGGAAGATTCTGAAGCCCTGACCTTGACCGACTCTATTCCCACATGATAAGATACGGCCAGTGGCTGCGTGATTTTGCATCATTTTGTAATAATCTTTACAATAAGCGTGCATTCCTTCCATGGTCTGGAAAACATTAGGATTGCAATAAAGTGACCAAGATGCAAGAGAAAGGAACCACATGGGGCCCGCCCCAAGGAGAGCAGTTAGACGGAAAGCTGGGATGTGCCAGTGAGGGCTGGGGCCGGCGGTGTGGGCAGGCCCCTGTTGGTGACAGCTGGCTTGTCGTCCTACTCATCCCTCACAGGGGACCCCACCTCGGCATGGCTGCCTGCTGTGGACCAAAGCGGCACTCCTGGAGCCCGGCTTGGCTTCGTCCAGGTGTGTTTGCCTCGGTGGGGCCCTGCACAGTGGAAACACTGCAGGTCCGGTGTCTGTGTTTGGAGAACCCTGTGTTGCTTGCTGGCCATGCCCACAGCTTCACTCCCAGGATGGCCCCAATGGCAGAGGCAGCCTGGTCTGTACAGCCCCAGGGCTCCGCGGCCACCCCACGCTGCATACCCAGGTTTCTCCGCGGCCATCTCAGCACCCCTGCAAGTCACAGACCTTGTAGGTTTCCACGGGACACATGCAGTGACCCCAAGGCTCTGGCACTACTCAGTGCACCTGCGGGGACACAGGGGCAGGCCCGGGGGGACTTGGGGTTCATCCTGCTTCTCTTCCTTAGGTGACACCTCGTTTCTACCCCTTCCTCCTCCTGGCCCTTCCCTGACTGGAGAATTATTTAAACCCAATCCCGCTGTTAGCGATTTCACCAGAATCAGAGGCTGAGTTCCCCTGGACAAAGCCGTCCCAACTAAACCCTGCTTGCTTTATTTTCAGAGAAATGTCACGCTGTGGCAGAGCTGCTGCAGCCAGGGGCGTGAGCACGGAATTGTCCCGTCCCATGCTGGAGGTGGAGCTCACGGCCTTGGGGGAGCTGCTGGAGGTCTCTGTGTCCATGCCATGTTCCAGGTGCGGGATCTGTGTGCAAATTTCCCCTTTGATGAATGCACCAGCCAGACTGGCCCGGGGCCGCCCTCCTGGCCTCGTTTGCACCCATGCACCTCGCAAAAGGCTCGGCTGCCACGTGCAGCCCCCAGGCCCCACCCCCACACACGCTTCTTCCAGGGGAGCACAGGCCTGGTCTCCACGCCCTGCCGGGACAGCTGAGCGGAGAGGCTGACCCCACCTCCCGAGAGCCCGGAGGATCGCTGAGGGGCGCCGCCTGCCTGACTGCTCCTTACACCTCCTTCCCAGCCAGGGCCCAGCCCCCCGCCCGCAGTAACAAGATGAAAACCTCCCTCACAGCTGCAACTCTAACCCACATCTCTCTGCGATGCCTCAATTGATGGTTATTTATTTTCCACAATAATCTCATTAATTTTTTGGAAGAGTTATCTCCTGTGTTTATCAGGCAAAATGCCAAGAGCAGGTAACGACCAGTAGGAAGCCTGGGCCAGCTGCTGCATGGCTGCCCTGAGATGAGCGAGGCGCTCCTTGGGCTGGAAGCCTGCGGCTGCCCACAGCTACACACCCTTTCTGGGAAGGGCCTCCTTCTGTGGCCAGAGGAGCTCAGGGGTGGCCTCTGAGCAGCCAGGTTCTACCTGTTCCCTTGAAGAGTAGCCAGAATCCCCACCTTCCACTTCATAGCCATCACCATCATCACCATCACCACCATCATCACCATCATCATCATCACCATCACCACCACCACCATAATCACTGCCTTTACCAAGTATCCACTCTATACTGAGTCTTCTAATAAGTAGTTTACCCACAATGTCTTCTGGAAACTGCATTTTGTGGACAGAGCATTTGTTTGGTCAAGGTGTGGTAAGCCAGCACAAACTATGAAAATAGTGGTGCAATTTGCATCACATTGCTAGGGTGGCTGGGGTGGCTCTGTCCGCCTCACCTGACCCCACTCAGGCAGCTGGACACCGCTGGGAGGCACTGCCCCGGGCTGGGCTGGGCTGGGGGCCGGGCTGCTGCCGCAGAGCTGGGCCCTGGCTGAAGCGGCAGCTGCTGTTTCAGAGGGGCCGCTTCTCACAGTGATGGTCAAGTGCAAGAAACCAAGTGGGAACAGATGAGCTCTCTGAAGCCGAGCTTGCAGCCAGCCCAGGGGCCCGCTGGCCAAAGCAGGCCATGTGGGCAAGCCCCGAGCCCAGCGGTGGGGACATTGGGATCAGCATGATCGGGGCAACAAGTGGGAAGGGCTCCCTTTCCTTCCCTCCCATCCTCGGTGGCTGGAGCGCCCAGCAGGAGGCCACGCCCAGGCTCCGGGGAGGGACCACCACAGCAGGCAGGCAGAGTGCAGGGAGCGACCCACGTGGGACAGGACTCCGGCTACTGAGGGTTCAGTTCTGTTCCTGCTTGTGACCTGGCTTAGCCTGCCTGAGCCGCCATGCCCAGGTCTGTGAAAGAGTTAGCGTATGTCATCCCCAGGCCGCTGGGTCAGCAGGGCAGGCTCGCTCGACAGCAGCGGCTTCTTCATAGCCCCGTGGGGTGGCAGGCTCAGATCTGATCCTGCAGCAGCTCTGGGAGGCCAGAGAAGGCCAAGTCCAGAACGCGCCTGGGAGGAAGGGAAGGAAATGCCCACGTGTGAGAGGGCGGAAAACAAAACAGGCCCAGACCTCAGAAGCTGGGCGGCGTCCCTGGCACCGGCATCCGGGACCCAGCGGCCACAAAGGTGCTGAGGGCGAGGAACGGGAGGGCCCGGTGACAGCTGGCTAAGTGGTGGCATCAGGCATTTGAAGGTAAGGTGGTGCCAGGT